AACCACATGCATAGGCCGAGACATAGCACTGGACATACGGAAAGAGATAATTTACTTGCTGAGGGAGTCAAGCAGAACAATCCCAAATCGCTCGCCCTCAAATACGCACAACTTATACCGGCCTCTATGCAAGGCCCAATTTGAGCAGAACGAGGAGAACAATTCTAATTCGACTCATACATCAGTGTGTCATGAGGCCCAACTTATATCAAGCAGAACAATCCCAATTCGACTCATACATTAGGCCACAAGTAAGTGAGTCGACTTATTCCTTCATTAAGAGTACTTGTTGTCCGCAAGCAGGTTTAGAAACTCCTAACCCAATTCGCATCTTCAGCGGGGCGGGGTGGGACAAGCCTCAGACCCTTTTTGACAGCACTACATACAACCCACTTCACTAGATAACTCGAAATTTTGGTGGGCCGGACCAATTGCAGATTTACATTGTCTACGTGTCCATTTATAATATATAATGGGAAAATATACGAAAGTTTGTACCGACCATAGTAGCTCTACTCTGCCTCCTCAATCATCTCCGAATTCCCTATTTACCCTTGGCTTCTCCCGAAATCCCCACCATATCCCCGCCGGGGGCCAACACTGCAACCTCAGAAGTCTTCATACAGTTTCTCTCTCTACCTTTCTCTCTGCCTCTCTCCCTCCTCCCCTTTCTCTTTCTCTCTCTTAATTACATTTATTTCTTCGTGATTTGTCGATCAGGCGGCTGTTTAACATCTACCGCCATGACGATGATGACTCCTCCGCCGTTGGATGTAACTACATCTTCTACTCCCATTTTTCCGACTTATGCTCATTTTCACTCCCCCGTCTTCTATGTCTGTAGATATGCATGCATACCGCAAATTTTGTTACGAATTTTCTCATTCTATGACCTGTGAAGGATAATTTTTGGCCTATGTGCGCGTATTTGTGTTTGGGGATCGAGTGATTTTGATCAACTAGGGTTCTGAGTGGGCTAAGCTGTGAAGAGGGGTTTAAGTTAATTAGTTTAATCTGATTTCATGCGAAGTTTGATAAACGCATGCTAGTAGATGGATTTTGTGGTTCAATATAGGAGTATGTTGTTTTCATTACCCGGGTCAAGCTTGTTTTATTCATGTTTGTGGCTTCTGTAATGTAGCATCAAGAAGATGAAGAAATGCTGGTGCCGCACTCGGATATAGTTGAAGGGCCTCAGCCATTAATTGAAGGGCCTCAGCCAATGGAAGGTGCCCACTCCCTTTCTGCTTGATCTTTTTGTTTGTTTCTTTATTTTGTGGATAGAGGCTTCTGACCTGTGGAGTCTGTCATAGTTACTCATTTTTTTTATTTTTTTTTTTTCATTGGAAGGCTATTGTTAAGTTTTGTTTGCCTTGCTTGCTGTTGGGTTGTCATGTTGGTAGAGCTTATGATATCTGCAAATTCAATTGTAGTTACCAGTGTTTTTTTACCCCTTGCAAATCACAATTTAATAGCATTGTCAATTTTTAGTGGTGCCTTCAGAAAATGCTGGAACTGTGGAAAACCAGGTGAATGACGAACCACAACCATCCGGTTTCACATGGACAATTGAGAACTTCTCCAGATCGAATAAGAAGCTTTATTCTGAGGTCTTCGTTGTTGGGGGATATAAATGGTGATTGCTCTTTGCCTCTTTCCATAATGTTGTTGGATAATAGGATGGAAATTCGTTATGTTAGTTGGAACTAATTGAAAAAAGAAAAGAAAAAGTGTTCTTTATTTTTCCACGAGTTCCAAAATTAGACCTCGTTGATTTAGTTTTTTCTGTTAACGTGTTTTGTTAGAGAGTGACCATTTACCTTTCAAGTTGCATTGATTTCTCAGGCGTGTGCTTATTTTTCCGAAAGGAAATAACGGGGACTACTTATCGATGTATTTAGATGTGGCTGATTCAGCTACATTGCCATATGGGTGGAATAGATGTGCACAGTTTAGCTTGGCTGTAGTTAATCAAATGTACGACAAATTTACAGTAAACAAAGGTACATTCGTGAAACCCCATGCTTTTTATTTCTTACTCACAGAAGAAACTTTTTTTTTTTTTTTTTCATTTCTTTTGCTGTTAACTAACTTTCATGAAGTTTTAGCATAATGCCATGATTGGATATTATCTTTGAATTTATTCAAATAGCTCCATGAACGTCATTTCTTCCCTATCAGAAAGCAAATTAGAAGTGAAGAGAACAGTAAAAGGCGATCTTGGATATGCTATGATTATTACTTTCTATATCTATCAGAAATTGGTTTCCCTTGGTTTAATTTCACCTTATCCTAGTAATGGTCACACTTGGGACGATTAACGTGTTACCTGGGGAACATATAAACTTATCTGTATTACTGAGCTCAGATAAAGATTCTATTTGCCGCAATTGCCATGAAATGAGCCTTTTTGTGGATCAACAGAGACACATCACCAATTCAATCAAAGGGAGAGTGATTGGGGTTTCACAAATTTCATGCCTCTTAGTGACCTTTATGATCCCAACAAGGGGTACCTCGTCAACGATAAGTGTGTTATTCGAGCTGATGTAGTTGTACCTAAAGTGATTGATTATTGGACATATGACTCAAAGAAGGAAACGGGCTTTGTTGGACTTAAGAATCAGGGAGCAACTTGCTACATGAATTCTCTGCTCCAAACCTTATACCACATTCCTTATTTCAGAAAGGTTATATTGTTTTCCTTGTTTTTTTCTGATATGTCGGTTTTTGTGTGAACTATGATAAAAAGATGAAGCCTCTTTAAATATGTCTTTTCAGGCTGTATATCATATGCCGACAACAGAAAGTGATAACCCCACTGGAAGCATCCCTTTGGCGTTACAGAGTTTATTTTATAAGCTCCAATATCATGAAACTAGTGTTGCTACAAAAGAATTGACTAAATCATTTGGATGGGACACATATGATTCTTTTATGCAACACGATGTGCAAGAACTTAACAGAGTTTTATGCGAAAAGCTTGAAGACAAAATGAAGGTACTGGTTCCTAACAGTTTGGAGTTATTCCAATATTCTTGTTTTTGGTTGTTCAATTCACCAGTCATTTTGGAAGTAATTGTTGTTTTACTGGCTCAGGGTACTGTCGTAGAAGGGACTATACAGAAATTGTTTGAAGGGCACCATATGAATTACATAGAGTGCATCAATGTTGACTTCAAGTCAACAAGAAAAGAATCTTTTTATGGTATAATATGTTGCTCAGACTTCACTTTGATAGTGTTGTGTTAGATTTGTTTCCGTCGTAGTAAACAACAAATTCTTGTGGCAGACCTTCAGCTTGATGTAAAAGGTTGCAAGGATGTTTATTCATCCTTTGACAAGTATGTGGATGTTGAACGTCTTGAAGGAGATAACAAATACCATGCTGAAGAGCATGGTTTGCAGGTATTTCCTGCTCCATGTAGATATGACGCTTTGACATATATTTTTCTTTTGTTCTGAGAATCTATGCTGCCTTGCTGATCTCAGTGATGATTTAGTCTGAAATGTATTATAGTAGTTAGTGTTTGGAGATAACTGAAATAGTGAAGTTAAAAAAAAAAAAAATCAATCAAGGTATCAAGACTATGTTATGCTAGGCACGAGGATATTATTTTTTATTTAGTTACTTATCAACATATACCTCTGAGTTTCTCCTCTGCCTTGGAGATGATCGTCCCCAATCTATTGGTATTATTGCTGACGTGAAACCACTCTGCATCTTATTGTTGTAGCAAATGTTAGAGGACTGATTTCTCAGTTAAACAAATATCTACATTTTTTTCGAAGCAATTTTAGGGGGGTCAAACTAATTATTAAAAAAATATCTTTTATCAATATGTAATGTAATTAGGTGAGATGCGAAAAACTATATTTGGGTTAAACTCTTGGAAAGACTTTAGTTAAATAGTTATTGTGAGCAGGAAATTTGCAACTTCTGACTAGTTGCTTGTCATCAGCTATGCTAGTTTTAGGTCTTTCTGAAATGTACTAGTGTGGCATCACTTCTTTTCAGTATTATATTTAGGCTATCTGGAGTACTTTGTTTCCTTATGCTCAGCTCCGTGTTATCTGGGTGCATCCTTTTCCAAGTTTAGTGAATCTCAGTTACTGGCCTCATCTAGTATAGTTAGGCTGCCTGTAAGTTTTCCAGTTATGAAATGCGTGCTTTTATCATGTTTCACTGTTTTTTTAATCTTATATCGCTTTCTGTTTCTATATGGTGCATTTGTTTTGTACATACTGAAATTCAATGCATTTTGTTCCTGTTTATTTTCATTTTGGATTCCCATTATAATGGAAATTCTTTGTGGTTGCTCTTCTATACATTATATCCTATGTATGTTCTTCAATGTTTAAATTCTTTGTGGTTGCTCTTCTATACATTATATCCTATGTATGTTCTTCGATGTTTCTTTTGGATTCAGTTAATTAGTTATATAGCACCATGATATCCATTTCGTATGCTAGTTTTGTTCCATGGATGCAAGTTAGACGAATTCAACGTTCAAGTTGTTGATATCTAAAGTGCAGTACCTTTTGTTGAAAATTTTATGCCTATAGTATTAAAATTTGATGGTGGGAAAGAAAAAGGACGAGTTCTTTTCTTCTTATCCTTTTTTCTAGTTTTCAGGTGCTTTTGACGGTAATAACTAGTGAACTTGTGCCACGGTCAATTCTAAGTCTTTGTAAAAATCATTCTGCATAATATTTTACTTATTGTATCAGCTGTAGAAAAAAGACTGGGCTGCCTCCTAGTTATGCTATTTTGGGGAAAAGCTTTCTAAGTTGCTTGGATATGTTGTGTCAGATACTTTTCCATATGCTCAGGTTCTAGGCTGGTGGTTTTGTTTTATTTTCTGCTGATGTGAGAAATTCTGGCTTTTTTTAGTTTTTCTGCGTCCTTTTGTTTAGGTCCTGTTTCATAAACCGTTTGATATGTCTTTGGTTATCAATATCTTTTCGTATTCTAATTGACCTGGAGAATATGTTTCTACTCTTAGGATGCGAAGAAGGGTGTCTTGTTCATGGACTTTCCTCCAGTTCTTCAGCTTCAGTTGAAGCGTTTTGAGTACGATTTTATGAGGGATACAATGGTTAAGGTTAGTTGTTAAGGTGTTAGTCATGTTTCACATGTTGCTTCGTGAGGTTGATGTTTGTTTCTTAATGTTGTTTTCGTTGTCAATTTATGCCGGAATATATATTCAATTTTTGAGGTTAATGTATTGCTTCATGGTTGCAGATAAATGACCGGTATGAATTTCCATTGGAACTTGATCTAGACAGAGACAACGGAAAGTATTTGTCGCCAGAAGCAGATAGAAGCATACGAAACCTCTATATGCTTCATAGGTTATTGTGCATTCTCTACTGAAGTCTCGCTTACCTTATGTCATTATGCTTATACAAAATACATCTCTGCTTGTGGTTTAAAATTGAAAGTGTGATTTAAAGAGCAGAAGCATGTGTGGGAATTGCATCACACGTTATTTACCAGAATGAGCTCGCTCATTGAAAATTATATACACCAGCTTTGTATAGTGCGTTCAGTTTCTCATTGCTCCTTTTGCTGCATGTATAACTTTTCAGTTACTGTAAATTTTTACCTGAAATATTGATTTGTTGGTTAACTGCTTATCCTCGTAGATTCTGAATGAAAATTACTATCTTGCTCAGTCCTGCCCTTTGCTACGGATGTTCAGATTTTACTTTTGCCTGATTTTCCTTGGTAATTGGCAAGTTCCAACATTGGGAGTGCCATAATTTGTTGCTTTCTGATTACCCCCTTAGCTAGGTGGCCTTTGCTTGTTGTTTTAGCTGCAAACTAGAACGTTAGCTGAATATTATTTACACGCATTCTTCTCTATATTGTGCAAATTTTTTATTTATTTGCCCAATACGGTGGAGCTTTGAATGTGTTCATGGATATTTGAGTTCATGATCTTTTTATACCATAATTATGGTAGTTAATATATTTATATGGATTCAACATATTGTTTTACATGGATCCAGTCAGTGACAAGAACCTGTAGGCATGCCTATTATTTTATCTGCAGCAAGTGCTGTAATAACTTGCTTTTGACATGGTCTTTTCCTTAACATTCTATTTTCTTTTGTTTCTTTCTTCTCGAACAGTGTTTTGGTGCATAGTGGTGGGGTGCATGGTGGGCATTATTATGCTTTTATCAGGCCAACACTTTCTGATCAGTGGTATGCTTCTTAGCTCTGGAGAAAGTCTATTCCTTTTCCATCTTGCATCCATTTATATATTGTTAAGAATTTAATGGGAAACAGGACGTTGTAGTTTCTGGGTTTCATTTATGATGATGAGTGGAGAAGCATACATCTTTTTCTGAGTCTACTGCCCACTTAGCAAGTCATGGTTGCCTAATCAGTTTCGTTTCGGATTATCAGCCATGTGCATATGTTCATATATTCTGTATAATCTCAAGTCTCAACAGGCTGTACATGACGTTTCTTGTGATTTATCATTCATCTTTAGGTACAAATTTGATGATGAGAGGGTCACCAAAGAAGATGTGAAGAGAGCATTGGAGGAGCAGTATGGTGGTGAAGAAGAGGTGGTATTTCTGTCTTTTGATTTCATTATTTATGTGTCTTGGTTTGTGTGGTTATTTTTTCTTTGCTTTGCAGTTACCACAAACTAATCCAGGCTACAATAATACTCCTTTCAAATTTACGAAGTACTCAAATGCTTACATGCTTGTATATATAAGAGTGGGTGACAAAGATAAGATAATATGTGATGTGGATGAGAAGGATATAGCAGAGCATCTAAGGGTAAGGTTACTGAACAAAGAATAGATTTGATCTAATCATCATTTTACGTGGAAGTATGTCACATGGATCGATTCATTGATTTTTCCAGATAAGACTGAAAAAGGAACAAGAAGAGAAAGAAGACAAGAGAAGATACAAAGCACAGGCCCACCTTTACACTATTATCAAGGTAATCTTTACTATTGTGCACTTTGTTTGTAAATTGATTGCCACCACATTTCCGATAAATGGATTTCTAAAGCTATTTATTTTCAGGTTGCCCGAGATGATGATCTGAAGGAGCAGATTGGAAAAGACATATATTTTGATCTTGTAGATCATGATAAAGTTCGTAGCTTTCGAATCCAGAAGCAGATGCCTTTTAACCAATTCAAGGTAGAGTTAGCTGAAGATTTTGCCTGATATGGACTCTACTTTGTTAATCATTCAGTTACTACATTTTCTTTATCTTGTTGATGTTTGTATATTTTGGTTTTGTATATTTTATACTTAACTAGTCGATTGATTTTAGAATTTTATCTGGCCTCGATTTCTTTACTTAGCTAGTTGATTGATTTTAGAATTTTATCTGGCCTCAATTTCTTTTTCTTTTTCCGTGATTGTGTTGAAATGGTACATGGAATTTGTTCTTTGGAGATAACTGTTGCAGTTAACTGTTAGTACCCTACCTTGATCATAGATGGTTATGCTAAATAAAACCATAAACCTTTTACTGTATAACTGTACGCATGCATTGGTGCATGTGCAGCAATAAATTTTTTCTTCATTTGGCAACCACATCTTTTTTTGCTATTTATTACAATTTATGTCGTGATTGAGTTTATGCATTTGTTCAGTTTATTTATGTCATATGTTTTAATGTGGAATTCCAACAATTTTTGTGTATTCTTATGTAGGAAGAAGTCGCTAAAGAATTTGGTATACCGATTCAATTTCAACGCTTCTGGATATGGGCAAAAAGACAGAACCATACTTACCGTCCGAACCGTCCTTTGACACCCCAGGAGGAAGCCCAAACTGTAAGTATATTATTGTTTTCCTCTCCATTAATATCGAAGTGAGGGACCATTGTTTTCGTCGGTATACGTAGCCTGCAATATTAGATACACATTGTTAGCCTTTTAAAGTTAGAAAAATGAAAATATGCATTTGGTCTGAAGGGAGCTTCCCAGTTGAAGGTATATATAGTCTGAAATAGATGGATGGTGAAAGATTCTGCTAATGCCCAATCAATAACTTTTTTTTTCCCCTTTAATTCTGCTCCTTGAAGTTTATCAACAAACTGACAAAGACTGGTGATGGATTGTAGAGTGATGCAAATTACATATTTTAGGATTAAAAACATAAATAACATCTGAAACACAACATAATTGTACAAAGTAAGAAAAGAATTGGAAAGACTTGGAAGTTACTATCATGTATACTGTATATCATGTGGATAGATCACTTTCGTTTCACAATTGTGATAATATGTTGTCGGATCTGATATTATTTCGTTGAACCTCTTTGGATTTATTAAATGTATTGTCTCTTTGTGTATGCACTATGCAGCTGCTTTTCCACATATTTCATCAACCTTTTCTTTTTCAGGAGGCTTAAACCTTATCTTACTTATCGTGTGCAGGTTGGAGCATTGAGGGAAGTTTCCAATAAGGCCCATAATGCAGAACTGAAGTTGTTTCTGGAAGTAGTGCTTGGATTGGTAATTCATTCTAGGGTCTTGTTTGGTTTTGGCTGTATGCCAATCCAGAAATTCTTTTATTCATATATTAACAGTGTTTTCTGGGGTGTATATATAGGATTCACTTCCTGTTCCTCTACCAGCAAAAAATAAGGACGACTTACTGCTATTCTTTAAGCTTTATGATCCTGAGAAACAAGAGCTCAGGTACCTGCTCTTTATTGTAGAGTCACTAATGTTTTTGTTTCTTCTTCTTCTTCTTCTCCTTTATATATATATATATATATATATATGTTATCTCCTTTGATTTTACTCTCATTCCAGATATGTGGGGAGGCTCTTTGTGAAGAGTTCAGGAAGGCCTATTGAGATCCTAGAGAAGTTAAATGAAATGGCTGGATTTCCTCTGGATGAAGAGATTGAATTATTTGAGGTGTGTCTTGTCATTGAATTACGGCAAATTTGTATTTAATTGCATACATGTATGATGCTGTATGGCAAACCCCATCATTCAACATTACAATTCCGGCACTTCCATAAGGCATATGAGTATTATTTACCATTTCTGTAGGAAATAAAATTTGAGCCATCTGTTATGTGTGAACGCCTTGATAAAAGAGCTTCATTCCGGCTTAGTCAGGTAGTACGCCTCCAATAGTTATTTATTAGTTCAATGTCTCTTATCTCTTTTATCTGCTCACCCCTTTCCGTCCTCTCTGTTTTCTGGAAGATCGAAGATGGGGACATAGTTTGCTTCCAGAAACGCCCTCCAACTGATCGTGAACAGGAACTTCGCTTTCCCGATGTTCCTTCATTCTTGGAGTACGTGAAAAATCGCCAGGTTAATCTTATTCCTTTATAGACTTTCTTCTTCATCCTATTCGGTGTACTAATTGAAGGGATGCAATGTATATCCAATTGCTCACTATGCTAATCTGATCCAAATTTCCCAACTAAGAAGTTTTCCAAGTTATAAAATATACATTCGTGGTTTCTGTACAGTTGTCCATCTTGATTTATTATGCTATTGTTCCCAGCTAGGTCTTTTTGTCCACTTTTTGGAGTTGATATAAAATAGATATTGTGTTTCCCTAATTCAGTCATTCTACAGTTAGTCAAGTCCTTCGAGCTTTGACTTCTTCAATATGTTCTCTTTCACTTTGCTCTGCTTCTTTTCCTTCAGAATCATTTGAATATGTTTCCTTTGCAGATTGTGCACTTTAGAGCCTTGGAGAAACCCAAGGAAGATGAGTTTTGTCTGGAATTGTGAGTATTATTGGGTCCCAATATTTAAGGATCTCCTTTCTTTGACCATGCTAATTCTCTTTAATTGCCTATTTTTGGGGAAAACTTTAACTGTCTGCTACCCTTTCTGGCATAAATCTGCAGATCAAAGAGTCATACTTATGATGATGTTGTTGAAAGAGTTGCCCAGCGCCTTGGCTTGGACGATCCATCTAAAATTCGGCTCACTCCCCACAATTGTTATTCGCAGCAACCAAAGCCGAATCCCATTAAATATAGATCGGTTGATCATTTGATAGACATGCTTGTTCATTACAATCAGGTCAGGCAAAGAAAGTTGTGTCCTGCTGCTGCTGCTGCTGCTGCTGCAGCTGCTGCCCTTTGTTTTCAGCACATTGGTGGATCAATCATTAATGATAAATTTTGGTTCTGAATGTAGATTTCCGACATTTTGTACTATGAAGTGTTGGACATTCCCCTGCCAGAACTGCAGTGTCTGAAAACTCTCAAAGTTGCTTTCCATCATGCAACCAAGGATGAGGTGCTGATAATTGTGTTGTGCTTTACTTGTGTGGTCCTTATCAAATATCAACTCTGAGTCGAATAAGGATCATTGACCTAGCCATGTTGTCCTTTTCAGGCTGTAATTCTCAATATTCGATTGCCAAAGCAAAGCACTGTTGGAGATGTTCTCAATGAGATCAAAACAAAGGTCTGCTCAAAGCTGCTTGAAAATTGTTTGACGTCATGAAGTTCGAAATCAAAGCTCTTTTTTTTTAAAAAAAAAATAATAATTCAACACTATTTCTATTGGGAAAAAAGGATAAGAACCAATCTGTCAAGGAATTTTTTCTTCTCTTTATCTGCACTTCTTTCTTAGATTGTTGTGCTTTTTAACCCTTTCAAGCAAGTTTTCTTGATAATGCCTTCATCTAACATCGAAGTTATGAAATAGCAGTAGCATAAACAAGTTTGACTCACACTGTTGTGCATCTTATAATAGGTAGAACTGTCTCATCCGAATGCTGAGCTTAGACTGCTTGAAGTTTTCTATCACAAGATATACAAGGTAACCTTCTTTGCTCTAACATGTACTGGTAAATTATCTATTCAATAAATTTTCACGTAAGGAGATTTGTTGAGGAGGATTTGTAACTTTGCTATATGAGAATAGCAGGAATTATGGTTAGAATTAAGAACATGATAATCTTGTGAAGGACCTGATCCTAGTTGTATTCGTTTGAAAATTCGTCATGGTGGCCAATAACTTTAAGTAATATGTGAGATTGTATTAACATAATTATTTCTCATTTGACAGATTTTCCCCATCAATGAGAAGATTGAGAACATAAATGACCAGTACTGGACTTTGCGTGCTGAGGAGGTGAACTCTTATCATTTTCTTTAGTGTATAGCTTTAGAACTGATAAGATTATCTCTTGGATGATCTCTGTTTTGACCAGCATTGGAAATTGTAACCTTAGCTAATCCTAAATAATTGTTACGTGTGCAATTGACTCAACTTTTTTTCTGCTTTGGTAGATCTGTGAATATAAGCTTACAGATTCATGTATCTTACATTATATGGTTATGTTTTATCCCAGATTCCAGAAGAAGAAAAGAATCTTGGGCCGAATGATCGGTTGATTCATGTCTACCATTTCACTAAGGAGGTTGCGCAAAATCAAGTGGTATTTCACACCCTTATCGTTATTTTACGTCTGCAAGTGGATATTGGTGTTTCTGTTAATTACTAATATTTTTTTTCCTTTTTTTCCTCTGAACAGCAAGTCCAAAATTTTGGGGAGCCATTCTTTTTGGTCATCCACGAAGGTGAGACATTAGCTGACGTTAAAGAACGCATTCAAAAGAAGCTGCAGGTTCCAGATGAGGAGTTTTCTAAGGTAATTTTTACAATTATATTCGGATATCAATTGAATATGGGAAAATTAATTTTCAAATTTAGCAGAATAATGTTGTGTCATACATTCTTGGAGGTTTTTTGTTCGGTAAATTTTTCCAGTTAATTGCTGAAGTAGTATCCTGATCATTTGAAATTTCGCTATGATAAAAACCAACCAGTGGAAGTTTGCCTTTCTATCATTGGGTCGCCCAGAGTATCTCGAGGATTCTGATGTTGTCTCTAGTCGTTTCCAGGTCAATTTTTACTCAGTTATTATTATTATAATGAAAGTGCAAAATATAACAATTTCCGTGAATCATTTTAATTAAAATCAAGAAACGTGAATCTATTTTCCAGAGAAGAGATGTCTATGGTGCTTGGGAGCAGTACCTTGGGCTAGAACATGCTGATACCACTCCCAAGAGAGCATATTTGGCAAACCAAGTAAAACTTCTTCACTCATATATACATGTATTATAGAAAAATATATATTACTGTGTGCTTAAATCATTTTTCCCTTTTTTTTTTTTTGGTCTCGTAANGAACCGCCACACATTTGAGAAGCCGGTGAAAATATACAATTAGAGTTTTTGACTTGCATTTACCTCAAATATGCCATACTTCCATTCCGTGGTTAAAAAGGCTAAATGAGAATTTGATTAACGGAGACTGCAATTAAGGCACAAAAGCATGCATCAAATTCCATCTGAGTTTTTTCCCCAAAAGTCACAGTGATCTTTTTCACTGTTTTAACATTTTTCTGAAGGGAAGCTAAACATTTAGGCATCTGTTGCTTTTAATGATCGTAGAGCACGCGCTTCACTATCCTTTTGTTGTCGCCGTTATTCTCTTGTCTGCGGAAAATTATGAATGTACCCCCAATGTAATTTTTAAAGGTTTTGTAAAGTGGGGTATAGATAGGTCTTCTATATTTTCTTGCTTTTCTGTAGACTACACTTGTGCAGCACCATCTTTTTTTCCCTTCAAGCTATATTTTCCATTGTTCTGGTTGTATTTTCATTATTACTTATACAGGGGGCCATGATTGTAAAAGAAACAAGTTCGTTTTGCGTATTTGTTTAAGATAGATATATTTGATTAACCGCGCGCCATTATTCAGATGTGCCTCCATATTCCTGTCTGTGGGTAAATGTGTTCCTAAAATTTGTGTTGCCTTGATTATTTCGGTGCAGTAAAGCTTGTCAAGGTTTCGATTGCAGCAAATTGCTCTATGCTGCTGACAATTTTAAATTATACGGTTTCAATGCAAGGGTGTTGTATGCTTGTATATCAAACAAAGACTTGTATTATTCTGAGTGTTTGTTGGAAGAAAATAGTAAAGGAAATGACAAATTGAAAAACACTGAAAGTTAACAGAACTAGCCAAAATTATGGAACTTCAGAAATTATTTTATGTAATCTACCATTATAGTGCTTACGTCTAACTGGAATTATTATATTAGAAATTAGTGACTGGAGAAGGTTGCTTTAAAGTTAAAACGGAAAACGAAGTTTAGATGCACAGAAATCCGGCTAAATAGTAATTTACTTGATATAACAGTGTTTGCATTTGGCTAACAAACATTGTTTCCATTTATTACTTCCAAACTCTTTCCCCAGTTTTCCATGTCCACAGTTTTCATTTCTAGTTTAGTAAGATAAACCTATTTAGTACACTTCGTTATCATCAAATGCAGTTTAATAACTGTAACGCCCAGCTATTTTTAAATGAAAAATACCACTCCCTCCTATTCATAATAAGTGTCGTTTTAAGAAATTGCACAGTAATTAAAGATATTTTTCTTGTCAATAATATCCCTGAAGATAGAGAATGATGTTTTGGGAAAAAATAAAAAGTAAATATGAAAAGACATAGTGTATTTATTAGCTAAATGAGGGTAATAATGGAAAAATATGTACAAAAAATCCAAAACGACATTTATTTGGATAATAGTTAATAAAACCAAAATGACATTTTAAAAGAATAGGAGGTAGTAATTTATTATTTCAAAAATCAGAGTTATTTTTCAAAAACCAATTATTTAACAGGCGCTACTCCAATTTCACATATCAACAGTTAAGTCCACACTTAACCAAACGGGAAATCAACCATCCCGAACATTTATCTCATGTAAACATTCAACATGCCTCAACAATTAATAGATCTCAATAATCATTCAAACATATTCATAATCCCAACTCAAATATAAACAGGAATAATCATCAATTACATGGTCAGATTTCCAAAACAAATATCCGAAAGCATGCATAATAATCTCAAAATAAAATAATCTAACAAGGTCCGAATACCAATAGCAATAATGAGCATGTTCGACAATGAGAATTTATAATAATAAATAAGCGGAAGCAGGTAACTAGCAGTTCAAAGTCAAATAATGACCCCGCCTCGCTCGTCTTTTGCCACAGCAACCAGCTCAACCTGAAAAGATGATTAATAGTGGGAGTGAGCAAACAACTAACTCACCGTGGGAATACCATGCAGTATAATTAATATAAAGACTTAAAATCATGGTCGCAGTATGTAAGCAAATCGACTATTCTACCCTCCCTGTATGCAAATCGACTATTCTACCCTCCTTAAACACAGCCACCTACTCATGTGATCACACCTCTACCTTATCAATCCACACCAGGACAGATAGGAACATGCCGTCCACCCTAGGACTGGAGCCATCGACACACGGACTAAGCTCTCTAAAAGCTAGAGTTAGACCTCATAGACTACCAGTTCACATGCATACATAGATCATCAAGCCAAGCATTTATAGAAATTAACATACATGGTAAGTTTATCAACACCCACCTGGAAGTCGGGTAGGCAATTACACACAAGCTGAAGAACGTAGGTCGAGGGCTCGACTCCTCAAACCTCTCTTTCGGGCTACCCGCACAAGAAGGCGGAGGATCGAACGAGAGGATCAAAGCCACGACGAGCAACAATCTGTGGTTGCTCGCTCGATGGCGGACGTCAGCGGTTCTTCTTGACCGAATCTCGATGGCTGATGGTTTACACGCGGCGGACTTCGGCTAATCGCGCGCGCTAGCTCGTGGTCGCCGGATTTTGGAGCTTCGATTGACGGTTCTGCTTGGTCGAAGGAATTGAGGATGACGATGGGCATTTCTGCGAATTTCTGAAGGAGTATAAGGGGGTGGCGACCGAACTAGAAATCCTTAAATAGAGGAAAAACAGGGCTGCGGGAATGAGAGTCGTGAGGTCGATGGAAGCTGAGAACGTGGAAATCGGTTTCTTTCGCTGGTGGTGGCGTCTGATTGAAGAAGGTGAAGAAATGGGCTAATATGGGGAGTTGCTTGGGCCATTTCTTATGGTGACTTGGTCCGGTTTTGTGCTGTTAAAATTGGGCCGAAAAAAGTTTGATAGGAATCCTTGAGTTGGGCCGGATTCAAAATGTACTTAGTACCACTTACGCAAAATTTAAAGACTTACGCACAAAATTCACTTAACGAAAATAAAATAAATAAACAATTAGTACACTTATGCGAAACAATAACAATTTAAGCACTTAGGAACAATTTAAATAAGCAAGACCACCAAAAATATGATTAAAAAAGACAAGGACATCCTCTTAAATCTCGATTTTTGATTAGGTGATTTAATTAGAAAAATTAAATAGACGGGACATCTATTTAATTCTAATAAGATTAAAAGGAAAAAAATTGTTGAGTACTACGACTAAAATAAAAGCGAGACGAACAAATAAATAATTATATAAAACCCAGAAATTCTAATAAACGAACGGGGCGCTACAATAACCATGCTACTAAAAAAACCTAAATCAAGTTATTGGTCAAATAATGTATTTCTATGAAAGAAGAATGTTATGCAGCCATCAGCAAGAATGTGAAAATTTCAACAGCTCAGTGATTCTTAACCAATTATGCAGAACAAAATTTCAGACAACAAACGGATAAAAAGTACTAGAGAAAGATAAGCCTATCATTGGTGGTCTGTAACTGCATAGGAGATAACGCCATCAGTCGTCTGAATGCATAGGCGATTCATTTTTATGAGCAGCAAAAGGTAAGATCTCGCCTTACTGCCTGCACAAGATAAGGCAAGCACAATAAGAAAACTGAAGCTCGGATGTCTAAATTGGCTATCGATATATTTCTTTCACAAATTTTTACTTTTACCACATAGTTATGTGCTAGCTGCTCACAGTTATAACGTAAATACTGAAAGTGAATCAAAAGACGAAAATGGAACACACAGAGTCTATGTTTGTCTCAGAATTTCATATTGAATAGGCCAGTTTCAGTTTTCAGCTCCATTTGGCCCTCATATGCAAAGGTTATCAGAAACCATCCGAAGAATTCTCACAGAACGCATTAAAGCATTGAGGACATAAAATTGCGACAAAAATCAGATGCCATTCAAGCCAGGAAACAGTGTCACTGTACATACCTAATTGCAGAAATTCAATTTCATCTTGTCTGAAGGTGACCGGTTTTGTTTTCTTTGTCGCTATGCATGAGTTCATCTTTTCAACCGCATCTAGGAGATCCTGCAATATACAGCAATCCTCATTTTAACAAAGGAGAAAACCACAATAACTTAAAGGTGGCAACAGTTTATAACTTCTTTATCAACCATTATTGTACTTGGTTTTCTTGATTACAAGAAAAATAAAGCATGACACTTAAGTATAATGAAAAATGTAAAATTGCTAAAGCTGATGCTGGAATACTCACATGTTATATGTCTTGTACTTGAATTTCCGAAATAATTACCTTTTTTCTGAGCCTATGATGTGATAATATGAAGAACAAATATCAGTGAGAGTACAGGCATTAACTAAACAACATGATTGGTCACCAAATAACAAATGAATGACATATCTGCCTGGTTCATTTGAAATTGCTTAATGATTGTGCCAACATGCTTCAGCTAAACTGTATCGTCTCCAGTTATCGGAGGTCACATTTCCACTAAAGCTTCATTCCACATAGACAGTCAATTTTTATTTGATGCTTTCTATTCTTCATGAATCAGGAAGGCTTGTGGTGGCCTTCAAAATGTGTAGTGCATTTACTAAGCCTTTCTTTTGTTTATACACCCATTTATAAACGTAGACTCTCTTAGTTCTATCCCTAGACAGAAAATAAGCTGAAGACTTGTGAATATTCTTCCAATTAATATTTCATTTCCTGTGATGCGAATGCTACATCCCAACAAGAAATGCATGGTTTCGTGCAGATATTGACTTAAAGTAATACAGCAGCAGCTTTGTATCTTTACATTTTCAAACTTCAAATTAAGAACATCTGAAAAACAGTCCCAAGCAAGCATATCATACCTCCCAGGGTGCCAAACCCTTCATGTGTTTGGGGAGACTTTCATAATCATCTCTCGAGATATTCAAAAGACACCCAGAAACTTCATATTGGTCAAGATCATCAATTGTTTCCCCTAATTTAATTACAAGCATCTCTATCAATCAGACACTAGTTGAATACTCCAAAATAAACTGCACGAAAGAATGAAATTTCAGAATGCATAATAATTCACCACACCTATCTGAAAATCAGGTTCATCAATCTCAAAGTTAGTGCCACCTTCACCACACTGAGATGCAATGGTTGCAAGAGAAACATCAGAGATCCCGAAATTCTTTAAGCTCAGCGAGTCGTCAAGCCTACGTCATGTTAAGTAAAGCAACAGCCAATATCCATTTCCCATCAACGGATAAAGCAATAAAAACAGCAGTAATTGGCCACAGAAAATCCTAAAATTGAAAATTAGGTTTAAACTCAAAGGATACAGTACATCCTCTTCTTCAGAATCATTATTCTTGGACTTGTCGCTGCTATTTCCTGGTGAGAAATCGTCCAATGCGCTATCACCCGTCGTGATATCTTCTTCATCGAAATCAACTAGAAACCCGAGAAAAAAATTAAATTAGCAAGAAAATAGAAAACATCTTTTGGGAAACCTCTTAGAAAAGGAACTAAAAAAAAAAAAGGAGGAAACTAACGTGGGAGATTGTAGCTAGAGGAGGAGCTGAGGTGATCCTGGAGGGCAAAAATGTCATTTTGGTTCTTCTTCAACACCTCATTGCAGTGTCCCAGGAGCTCCTCAAACGACACGGTGGCGAAGGACATGGATTCCAGCATGTTCAGGTCGTCGCCGGCGGCGGACACCCTCTGATTCACGCTTTGAACGAAAGTTGTAGATGCAGAATCTGGGGACGCGATTCAGGTGGATTTCATATTTTTTTTTTAAAAAAGGAAATTGACAATAGTAAGTATACTCTAGCTAGTGAGCGTTAAGAGAGTGGAGAGGTAGCGGAAGATGACCTACCGAGGGGGATTGGGCGGCGGTCGACGGACTCCTTCAGGGCGGTGCAGCTCGTTTGGAGGTGGTTGCAGAATTTCGTCACCGTCTTGCAGAATTTTCCGATGGATTCCTCCATTGCTCTTTTTTCCCCCCTCTCTCTCTACGACCGCTCTTCATATAATTTAATTTAAATTTGTTTACATTTTGTTTACATAAGTTACATTGTTTTTTAAATTAGTTTGCCACAACTGAGCGCCTGTAGCTCAGTGGATAGAGCGTCTGTTTCCTAAGCAGAAGGTCGTAGGTTCGACCCCTACCTGGCGCGACAATTATTTATTTAGGTTACTTTATTAAATTTTGATAAGCATAAAGTCGTAGGTTTTACCGACTAAATCTTTGGAGATATACCAATTTTTGGTTAATTTATTAAACTACCTGGCGCAACAATTTATATAGGTTAATTTATTAAATTTTGATAAGCATAAAGTCGTAGGTTTTATCGACTAAATCTTTGGAGATATTTTAATTTTTAAGGTCTCTCTTAACCGACTCTTCCCAAGTGAGTTTAGGCAGACAAAATTAATGTTTAAAAAAAATCAAAATGTTGATATCTTGTGAAACTGTAATTGATGCGTTATATAAATGTAATTTTTTATTTTTAAAATTCTTTTGTTATCTTTTGAAAATTATAATATTTAACTTTTGTAAAGTGATTTGTCAAATAATAACCTGTTGGTTAATACGAGGCATTTAGAACTGGTCATTATGTATGTAAATAATAATTTGCAACATACTATACTCGAATTTGAGATCTGCAACTTACAGAATTTTTTTTACTGAATTACAACCTTTTAATACATGATTTGTGCAACTCCCGTCCATCGAAGACCCATTTTCCACCAGAAAAGCAAGCGTGCGGGTCTTACACTCGAAAGTTGAGTATAAAAATGTCATTTATCTTATGTTTGAAGGATAGTTTGATCATTTCATGGTGTGAGCAGATTGTTAAACAAAAAATGCACGCAATAATACTTGTTCTCTCATTTCTTCACTCCAGTGGAAATGGCTTGGAGTCAAACGATCGTGGTAATGGGTCAACTATACAATTGTGAGAACAATGTTGTTACGAAAAACATCATATTTGTTCTAAATCCAGGAAGGAGATATGTTTCTTGCGCAAAATCACAGGTAAATAATTAATTAAGTTAACTCTAATTTTTGAACTTGGGAGAATTCACTAAACCCTAGAGCTCGTGAAATTAATTTGTTTTTTCAAGGAATTTTGTAGGAGGATGGTGTTTGTTTATATTTTTCATGGATTGAACTACTATTGTGCCCTAGAGCTCGTGAAATCATTCCAAGGTTTTTGAAACGTGCCGACAAATCTCAAATTCTTGAAGCAAACGTGACGATGTTGGAAGCTGGTGTGAAGAAGCTTCAATCAGATTTGAAAGAGATTGGAGCATGTATTGAAACTATTATGGAAGAAAAGGCTAAAATTGAATATGCTTGAAGAGAAAGAGTGCTAGAGAGCGTTGGATGTGAATTGTAATTATTATCTCTTGGTTGATCATATAATGATTTGAATGTTAATTGATAGTGTGTGTTGTTCAAACTTTTTTGATATTCTTTTAGTTGATCAAACTCTTTTGGTTATTAACTCTTTTGGTTGATCATGTTAATCTTGGAATAGTTGTGTGCTCATGTCTTTGTTTTGAATGTAACGGATGTTGAGATGCTTTAGGCTTCCAGTAAGACTGCTTATGTTTTGACAGTTTGACATGTCCAGTTTCTGTTAAAATGACAATCACAAGCATACACACTTAAAATGTAATCTAGTATACTTAACACAATTAAATCTTCGGCAATTATGTGACCACAGTTTACTTACCACATACACACATAACTCTGAAAAAATATGAGCTGTGAATAGTTGTGTATATATACTCATGAACAATACACCCATTCAAACATATGTACAAGCAAAAATACCTCCATAACAATGTCACAACTAAATACTTTCATAGCAATATCAAAACAACATATTTTCATTCACACAATACTTCCAATTAGTTTTTACAAGCCGACCAAAATCAAAAACACCTGGTGAACAGCTAGAATAAATTACCAATTCAAAACCAACCATGATATTCAAAAACCTGTCATTACATCCAAAATCCAACAACCATTCAATCTGGTTTGAATAAACCACATCCATTCTAAGAACAACATCCCCAAAAACTAGTTGCTATTTAAATGTAATTGTTTACCGTTTCCAAATCAACCACACGTAACAACAAGGAATCCAATATATTTCCAATATCTCTAGTTCAAGCTGAGATTTTACCACATGCTTGTTCAGTACTCGTCCATTTGTCATTGAAAGCTATAACCTTGAGTCAATGGATTCTTTTTCTGGGTAACCTATTAAATCTATCTATATATATATAATAAGAATTACCATTTTTCAAAAATGGCAGTTCAATTTTATGGTCAAAGACGCTTAGCATTACTTACTTTCTATTAATGGGGTTTTTTTATTTTCAATTTAAGAACACAGACAACATTAAATTAATTCCTTACCATGTGGAGTTTGTTACATTAATGACCACATAATCGGAAAAGATTCGGTTGACCACATGAATTTTGGCCATTTTTTATTTTTAAATAAAAATAGATTCGACTGATTAAATAAAAAATCGTTGCCGCGGCCATATCACTCAGTTCCGCAAGCAGTAGGAATTTTTTATTAGGATACACAAATACACAGTGCGATTACTTCGTCGGAAATAAATTATTGGATCTTTTGTCAAATTTCTAAGGTTGTTATCGAATAAATTCCAGCAAGTTTCTTTCGTTTTTTTTTTTTTAACTTTTTTTTACCAGAAAAACGGAAAATGCATTTGTTTTGATTGGCAACTTCATTTGTTAATAAAAAAATAAATTATTTGTTAACAAAAAATTAAATACGGCAACATTTATTTTAAATTGATGAAAATTTTTATTTCTTTGTTTAAATCACAGAAATATTTTAGTCTTCTTATTTAAATTGCCAATGGTTTAATGGTAAAACGCTATGTAAATAGACTTAGATATATGTATCACATATTATTGCCTAAATTAATGATATTATTATTATTAAAACTAATAAATCTTAAATTGAATCTGATTTATTTGTTAAAGGATATTTTGTATTCATAGTGTCGTGTTCTATTGAATTCAAAATTTTAAATTGTCGATATGTAGTTCAAAGAAACAAAATCCCTTATATGAAGGAATTTATTCCTTGAAATACACATATTATTTAAAATGCATAATCAATCAATTGATCTTAATTTTTTAAAATAACTATGTTTATTTTTTTTTATTAATATACATAAAGTAAAAACAGTTGACGATGTGGTGCTAGTTGACGAGAGTAGAGCAGGGGTAAATAGGAAGTTGGAGCTGTGGAAGGACGCGTTAAAGTCGAAAGGCTTCAGACTTAGTAGGACGAAGACCGAGTACATGACGTGCGCTTTCAGCATGGCTTCACATGATGATGGTGACATTATCCTTGACGGGCAAGTGGTGGCCAAGAAGGAGACTTTCCGGTATTTGAGATCGATACTACAAAAGGATGGCGGCATTGATGCTGATGTTAGGCATAGAATTGCATCCGGTTGGTTGAAATGGCGTCATGCGTCGGGCGTTCTCTGTGATAAGAGGGTGCCACAAAGGCTAAAAGGTAAGTTCTATAGGACGGTGATTCGCCCGGCGATGCTATACGGTGCTGAATGTTGGCCTACAAAAAGACAACATGTCCAACAACTAAGTGTAGCAGAGATGCGTATGTTCCGTTGGTTCTGCGGGCACACAAGAAGGGATAGAATCCAGAATGAGGATATTCGAGATAGGGTCGGGGTGGCTCCAATTGAGGAGAAATTGGTTCAACATCGGCTGAGGTGGTTCGGAAATGTCCAACGGAGGCCTCCTGATGCACCGGTGCGTAGGGGAGTTCTACAGCGGGTCGAGGATGTTAAGAGAGGTAGAGGTCGGCCTAAACTCACTTGGGAAGAGTCGGTTAAGAGAGACCTTAAAGATTGGAATATCTCCAAGGATTTCAGCAGCAGATCTAGAAATTTTTACAAGCCTGGGCAAAAAATAGTTGATTTTTTTTTAACCATATTGCACAAAGTACTTATATTAATAATTAAATAAAATGTTGAATCAATCGGGTCTTGATGGGTTCCCTATTCAATATGTCTTTGAATTGATGCTAAAAACTGAAATGGAGAATGAAGTCTGGTTATTTGATTTCACGTTTTAATTATTATTAATAAATATACAAAAATATTATATAATCCCGTTTTCATAATTTTTTGTATAAGTTATATGTAAACAATTCATTTTGAAATAAAATTTATTAATTGAAAAAAAAAAGCCTAACTGGCATCATTTTAGGTTATGTCATTTTATGAAGAGTTCCTTTTGGGTTATCTTCTTACATATAAATGTAGAGTTTTTTTTATCCATGTTTATTAGAACTTTCAAATTTAAACCATTGGCTAACTTAAATTGTAAATAGTTTTAAAAGTTATTAACACTTATATTTGTTATCAATTTTTATTTATTATAAATTAAATTAATCATATTTTGACGATCTATAGTTTGACATTAATATCTTATATATGATTAAAATAGATTATATCAATCATCTCCCTATCAATAAAAAATTAAATATATATTAACTATGACTGAGAAACAATAAATTTATCAATCAAGTCTATTATACATTATAAATACTAAAAAAATTTTAACACAGTGCATTCAAATTTGACAGGTGAGGTGTATCATTTTATACAAAAAAAATAATGCTATTTTGTAAGAATGATTTTAAATTTTAAAATTAGAACTTGTATTTATATTTTTACAAATATTAAATTAAAATTTACAATTAACACATGTAATGATATGAAGTTAACACCAAAAATCCAGCCTAGGCAATTGCCTAGGCTGGCCCATATGTGGATCCGCCACAGAAGGATTTAGCGGTGGATAGGAGCGCTTGGAGGCTCGCTATCAACGTGCCAAAACCGTGACTTTTGCTCCTTTTTTTTCTCTCTCTCTCGTTTTTTTTTTTCGATCTCTTCCTTTCGGTTCGAGTCTTTTTGTGTTTCTCTTGGGTTTCATCTCTAGCCTACCCCGACTTGCTTGGGACTAAAGGCTATGTTGTTGTTGTTGTTGTATACATAAAGTAAAAATAGTTCATCTTTGGGTCTTTCCTCTCCTTGACGTCGAGCTCAACGCGAGAGGTTATAACATATGCTCGACTAAAAGGAGAGGCATTTTTCATTAATATGCATAAATAAAAATAATTAATTCATCTTTAGATATATAATTTATAATCTTAATATAATATCATTTGGTGTAGACATTTATTATATGAACCATAAAATATTTTTATTTCATAAAATTAAATATATCTAAAAAAAATGAGAAAATTTCTTTGGATCAATCGAGTGATTGAATTAGGGTACTGTCCAAGTTGATTGAATTACTTTTAGGTGATATTTAAAATAGTCAAAAAACTTGACACAACTTGATTGGTTCCAAAGTGACTAAGTTATCTATCAAATTAACCAGATCAAATCGATTATTGAACCTAAATATAAATTTAAATATTGAAAATACTTTATTACGTGAATGTGATGTAGTCCAAACTTCAAATAATCATATTAACAACATTTTTATGAAAACATGCTTAACAATTTATAAATATTTATATATCGTTTTGTTAATAATTTTGTGAATAAAATAATATTTTATTATAATTTTATTAATGTACAGTAAATATAAGGTTTTGAGAACCGGACCGTCATCGAAATGATCAAGTTATTTTATTAAATTATTTGTGGTTTGTTCACATTTTAATTTATAAATATATTTTAATATATATAATACTTTTTGTAATAAATTTAAATAAATGGTGTTACTTAAATATCTAAACAATTTATAAATTCAAATGTTTAAACTAATTGATAAAGAGTTTATAAATCTCTATTTTATTTAAATATTTAATTCTATTTATAATAATTTTAGATGTACCAAATTTATCTAGAATATCAATATCGATCCTACCAGTCCAACCAACTTATGTTGACAGATTTGATAGTAAATATTTTATTCAAGCAACTAGATTGGTTATAAACTGGTTCTCGATCCATCTGATCGGATTGTGTCCAATTTAATTTAATTTAAAAACAATGAGTAAACTATGATTAATGTTATTAATATATTAGTGATATTATTTCCTCGTGCATTAGACCGGCCAGACACTAGTGAATAATAAGATCACATGCGAGTCTCCACTATTATCTAGTATCTACAGTTCCAATCAGTCTCGTTGAACTTTTTTCAGTCAGTGAGACTACAAAACCGTTCCTTTTCGCATATCGTACAGAAAATTATCATAAAAAAATTGTTGTCTGTCTAGAGCTTCGTATATTTGAGCTCCAACCATGGCGCATATGAAGGTTTTTGGTGGTCTCTTGTTCGCCTTGTGTCTGCTCGTACCGTACATCTCCGCGACGTCCACGGGCTTTCGCGCGTGCAGTACGTTACTTCCTTCTTTTTTACTCGAAATGAAATTTAATTTTCTCATCTCTCCTCAGTAATTTGATATCTTGATTTCTGATCTCTGTTCTGTTATTTATGAAATTTTGGATTTCTGGTGAGTCTGGAGATATTAATGAGTATTTGTGATGATCCAGAAGGCTAATGATCCAGTTATTTCACCGTAAATGATCCAGTTATTTCATGCCTGTATGCGCTAGGTGATGGCTAGTTCCTTGAATTGGGAAATAAAAAAAAGTTCACAATTTCTATGTGATTTGTGATGTAAATTGGAATTGGCAAACTTCTTATCGATTTTCAAGGAAGTAAAAGTGAAATTGACTAATTATGCGTGATTTGGAATGAGACATGCAGAGGTTCGTAATGTTTTATGTATTTGTGTCTCTTGTCAGTATTCATGCTTCATGTTTGTTCTTAATAACCTGAGCATATTCGATATAGCTTGTTAGAATACATGTGACATATTTGCACAAAATCACATAGTAAGCTTTGATATTATCTTTTGGGTGTGTTCCCAAAAACAAAACCACAAAGGTTCATGACCAAAAGCAAGAACTGATGGATCGGACTATCCACAAGGCTTATAAATTCTAACTTAGCTTGCACTAAGGATTTGGCTGCTTTCTGTCATCTGATTCATCTGCATTGTTGCTTAACCTTGCTTATTAATGCTAATCTAAATTTTCATTCTATCTCTTTGTGAATTTGTCAAGTTTTATCTTAACATTTGTCTTTACCTTTTGGTGTTTGAAATAATTGCAGGTAAGAAGACTGACTATGCTGTTAAAATCAGTGGACTCGATATCGATCCATATCCAATTTCCAAAGGCAAAAACACCAAGTATCAGTTCACTGCATCTACAGGTAAGCAATGGCCGTACCATCTTGTTTGGACTGATTCTTGATTCTGTATCTTTCCTATGACTCATACAGTTACATACTTATAATGCTGATCTTTTTTGCAATGCATCATCTTTTTATTATTTTAGTTCGTGTGACTATGACAAAAAGATGCAATAGTTTTCCTGTGTCTTCTTTGTGTGCTTATTTTGCTATAATATCACTTTTTTCCGAAAGCCTCCCTTTTTTTGGAAACTTTCATGTATGAGAAACTTGATATGCTTCTCTAATACAGCAGCTTGATAGGAGTCTGACATTCTTTATCATTATCGAGTTTGGCTGTATTTTCTGAGACTTACTAAAACCCTTGTTTTTTGATGCAGATGAAGTAATATCTGGTGGGAAACTTGTCATTGATGTATTGTACTTTGGATTCCATGTCCACAGTGAGAATCATGACCTTTGTGATGAGACCTCGTGCCCTGTTCCTGCTGGTGATTTTAACGTCACTCGCACCCAAGAATTGCCGGGATACACACCACCAGTGAGTAATTTTAATTTACCGTGATTTTTGTTAAAATTGTGAATGTGTTTGAACCTCTACTGGACTTGGCTGATTTGTAATCGATTTTCTTGTGATATATGCAGGGCTCATACACACTGCAAATGAAGATGGTGGACTCGAGCAACAACGAACTGGCTTGCATTACTTTTAGCTTCAGCATTGGTTTTGTGGCTGAAGAGAACTTGGCTAATATTTGAAACTCCTTTTTTTTTTTTTTCCTTGATCTCACTATTTTCTTTTTGTATAAAGACTTGCCATGAGTACATAGGCTCATGTACTGAAAGGTTTCTCCTAATGGTTTTGTGTGTATATATTATGGAGAGGAGATATTTGAACCTGCCTTTTCTAGATAAAATAATTCTGTTTGTGAAGAAATTATCATATATTGAAGAAAGAAATTAAATTATAGAATCTAAGTCTAAGTCTAATCAAAGTTCCAATAGTGTTACGGCTGAAACATGGTTTTGATCAACTCTGAAGATGGGTTGCTTTTTGATTACTTATTCATACTGTGCGAGTTGCCGAGTTGGGTTAGAGAAATGTTTGATTTTTTATTTGAAAATTGGATCTTATGAACATCATAAAATTCGTACATACGACCCTTTTGAAAAACAATAAATTGAACTTGAAGAACAAAATGAAATATATTTTTTTTACATAGCATATTTATATTCATTTGTGCTTCAAGACCAATTCAATTTCTTGTGTCTTCATATCGTTCGGATTAAACCGATAATTCTGCCCTTGGGTCGCTAACTGATTTGCCATTTTCCATTAAATATCGGGCCACGGCCCGTTCACCGATAATTCTGCTCAGAAACGGTGAAGAACATGTCGAGTACATCACGGCCCTCGGGCCGGCCCTTGGCAACCTCCAAGGCCCTCCGGGCCGCATAACCGGCCATCTCCCGAACCTCCTCGTTGTCCGCCGGCGCTAGAAGCTTCTGGAGAACCTGTTCCAGGGCCTCGCGCGTCTGATGGTAGGACGACACCTGTAGAAGATTCCGGCGGACGGAGATCCTGAGTGAGGGCCGACGCCGGTGATTGAATCTGCAGACGAATCGGAAATTGATGTCGAGTTGGGGAAGCATAGTGATCCGCCGTGGCTGGCCGCTGCTTCTGAATTCCGATCGAATCAACTTCATGGAGTAGCCGGCGGGCTCTGGCTCGTAGTCAATGAGAATTTCCATATTTTTCTTTTCTTTTTCTTATTCTTCTTTTCCTATTTATCTTTTTTGGGGGAGGCTTAATTGATTATTAGTAGTAACTGAAGCAGAGTATAGAGATACAGATATAAATAAAGGTTCAGGAACAGGAATTAATCCTTTGCCTATTAAGATTAGGAACTTTTACCCTAAGTCCAATTTTGCATAGGAATCGGTTAATTAAAATATTCTTTTAATTAAACCGTGCAGAGCAAGCAAATTTAATGTAGTCATTATTTACTTATTAAATTAGTAAGAAATAATTATTAGTTTATGAATTATTTTTCTGGCGGTTTTCATTTCATTTCCTCATACAAACTTCATTTTTTATATTTATTATATTTAATCGAGTTAATATTCCGTTTTAATTACGGAAAGAAATCATTACGACCTGAAAAGATCCAAACAGAAAATATTCCTACGCAAAATCGGATTTCACTAAAGTTACTAATCCTAATATGCCTAGGCTTCAATATTAAGTTAGTTTTATATATATGTGCAATTTATTCACAACCCACACTATCATTTAATTTTTCCTAAAAAAGAAGGAAGGAAAAAAAAAAAAGCAGAAGAAAAAAATGGAAGTTCTCAAGGGCCGGCCAGAGGGCCCGACACGCTCGACCTCTACTTTGGAGTGTCCGACCGATGATCGTGGGGCCCACCAGGACGATTAGTTCTGCTTACTGTAAAATGTAAATCGTCATCTGTTACTTATGAAATTTAAGTAACTAGTGCTTTTGTTCAAGGGTTTGTAAATTGTACTGTCACTAATTATTGATGTGATACGTTTTTTCCATGCAAAATTTTCTGAATCATGCTATCAATAATTAATGTTCATTCATTTGGTAATGAGATTGTTTGTTTGACATCTATGTTTTGTGTTTTAATGTAATTATTTTTTTCTTCTTTTCAATCAAGAAACTAGTATACAAACCCACATGCAAGCAATATTAGTAAGAGTTATGTAAAGCAATGCAGGGGCGGACGCAGACTTTAAGAACAATGGGGGCACAAACTAAGGTCAACGATCAACATAACGGTCAACGCACGATGTCAACGGTCAAATCAAGAGTTAACCAATTGAAAAAATAGAAAAGATTAAATATTGACCAGCACTTTGTTCCCTATTTAATAATTAGGGTTGAATCTCACATTCTCCTTTTTAGAATATGATACATTTGATCCAATCTATATATAGTATATGCATTTATGTATTTTGGGAGGGAAAATAAAATAAACAAGAAAAGTATAGCATAAGCATAAATTTCACAATTTAAAAAATAACATACTATTGAAGGTTAAATGATTCTAAATATTTTATATATATATATATATATATATATTGAAAATACTTGCATAATAATTAATAACATGTATTTTTTTATATCAATATAATAATATACATATACATATAGCATATATATAGTATACTACTAAAAATTATACAGGGGCCTACGGGCCCCTATGTAAATCCGCCAATGAAGCTATGTTTGGATTGAAGGTTTATCGAGGGATTTGAAATATATAGATTTCAAATTTATGAGTCAAAAATTTGTATATGTTAGGATGATAATAGAATTAGTTGGACGATTTTAAATTTTGTTAGATAGATACTAATCATTATTTCTAAGAATTTTAAATGACACTTCAAATCTAGTCGTTTGAAATTCATTGTTTATCCCACAATTGGTGAACACATCGTCCGTGAGTATGAATCTTTGTTTAGATTATCATCAACGCGAGTCAACACCATCGATGCGAGCCTTTATCATTTTCACAAATCTATTCAAGGAGTTTGAAATTAGCAAATTCAAATTTCAAAAAATTTGCAAAATCAATAGATTTCAAATCACACAATCCAAATTAACGTGGCCTAAACTAAATGTTGGGTTCATAAACGTAATTTATCATAGACATTTTAAACTTTTCCTTAGAAGTTTATATAAATTATATATTACAAAAAATCTCATCGTGCACCAAAATTATCATTAATAACAACTTTCGGTTCAATAAATAAATAAACAAATCCTCTCTCATATTTTTATTATTTGTTATTATGGCTTAATTGATCATTGATTAAATAAATGTCGTTTTGGCTATTTTGTTCATATTTTTTCATTTTTAACCCTCCATCTAATATACAGTGTCTCTTCATATCTCATCTCCATCGTTACCCATAACATCCATTAAATAGGGTTAATATTGGCAAGAAAAAAATTCTTAATTAGCGTGTTGTTTCTCAAAACGACAAATAATCAGAGAGAGTAGCAATTATAATTTTCTCATAGATATGTAAACAAAATGTTATAAGATATGATTATATTTTGTAACTTTATTAGGCTATAAATAAGTCATAGCAAATCTCACTTTTCACTTAATTAAATGACGAGCCAAAAAATGACTTTTTTTAGAAAGATGTTGTTTGCATAATTACATATAATTTTTTGATCGTTACAATTACATATTCTTTTCATTCTATGGATTGTCAACATCAAATTAATAAATAAAAAATTATCAAATTGAGTTCATATTTGTGTTTGGAAGGAAATTATCACAGTTTACTAATTTTCATAAGTGGTAGGCGGATTAGTAATTTAGTACTATGATAAACATTGTCAGTTTGTCACATTTTTTTCATTCATATACTGCAATATGAAGTTTGGTTTGTTTTATTTAATTAAAAATCACTATAATATTTATGTTTTAATGACGGTAAAGTTTTAGAAAAAACAAATACTATAACAATTATTTCACTTAACTTTTTCAGCCAAAATTAAAATTTCTCTAACTCCAAATAAAGATTCCTAATTGTTTTTGAAATAAAACTTTTTCAATTGTGATACCTATTACAAAAAATTCATGTTGCTCAATCTTTAATTTATGAAATCAATTTTGATACTAACACGATATGTATTGTATAATTTTTTTTTAATACTGTTATTTCGTTCATCAATAAAAAAAATAAATTAAATTTATGCATCAATAATATCGCCTCTGCAACAAAGAAATCTCAAACCAATCTCACTCGATCCCGTAGTAGAACTTATCGTGGCCCTGTCGACATTGGTCGGCGCCCAAAAACGCTACTGTTCAAACACGCTTTAGTCACCCATCCATCAGACCCCTTCCATTTTTATTCCTTTCCCTTAGCTAAATAAATTATTATCCCCTCAAAAAAAACTTAAACGAACAGTATTAAATAAGAAAAAAAAAAAACATCGTCTCAATCTAAAAATTCAAACATCCATCCATGACTTTATTTCCTTCCCCGTCCGCTGCAGCTTCTAGATGAGCCGCCGCCTCCTGAGCCGACTCTCCATAGACAAAGCCCTCCTCCACCTCCCCTCGCTCGCCAAATCCTCTCTCTTCCTCCTCTCCCTCCTCCGCCGTCTCCTTTCCAAATCCCTCCGCTTCATGGACTCTCTCCTCTTCTCCAACGACGACGACGCCGTTCTCTCCACCTTCGACCACTCCTTCCTCCCCCCGTCCTTCTCCGACCCCGGCGAGTCCCTCTTCCTCGTCCCCTTCAGGTTTTTCTGCCGCCCTTTTTGTGTATGAACCCTGCTACTTCCTTTTCTTTTTTCTGAAAGTGATGTTTAATTGCTGTGAATTGTGGTGCAGGTGGTGGAAGGATGCCATGTGCGGCGGTTGCAGGCTCGAGGGCGCGGATGGAGTCCGCGGCGTTTTGTACAATGCGATGGTGCAATTGAACGGTGGTGGGGTGGGGGATGGCTGGGAGGGAGATTTTATTGGGGGTTTTAGGGATTCTGAGATTTTGGTGGGTATGAGGAGGGAAGAGGAGGCTGAGGCTAGTGGGGAAGAAGGGGTTTCTGGCGGCAGTGGGGATTTGGCGTTGGTGTCGGAGTGGATGTTCTTCACTACTCTTAAATGGTGAGAGTGATTGATCTAGTGGTGGTAATTTTGATTTTGGTTTACTTTTTTATGTCACGTGCGTGCAGATGTGGGTTTGTTTTGAAGTTGTAGTTTTGTTGCCGTTGGTGTTGAGGTGAACACTAGAGTTAAGCTAGTAATTATATGGTTACGGTTACTTTGAGACAATTTTTGAAGTGTTGGTGTTTTTGATTTTTATGTTGTTTGTGGATATTGGAATTCAAATTGCTGTAATTCCTTCTTGTATTCGTGTAATATTTGTTGCGGTCTGAATCTGGACTCGCGACATAGATATACTTAACTGTTTGACGATTTTTTCTTTTCTATTGTAGGCATTTTGATAGGGGGAATGTGGAAAGTTCATATCCTGGAGGCGATAGTGCACACGATTTATTCACTTTGAAGATTAGACTTTTATTTATGAGTGAAGAAAGACATTTGGTCATTAAGATTAGCGAAAAGGTTCTTTAGCGAATCAGCCTCCTTTTTCTTTATGTTCAACCATTATACGATGTGATTCTTGTACTTTATTTGTGGAATCCTGTTATGCAAACTAGTTCCCAGTTGCATCGACCTTTGTTCTCAAATTAATTTAACGCTTCCAAACTTAGTTGTCACTTAATATCCTTGAGAGCTATATAATTCTATATTACCTAACTGAAACTTTTGAATAAATTGAGTTCCTAAACGGGTAAAGTAGTACTCGGTTCATTTATTTAAATATAAAATATCGAGTCTATACCTATAGAGAAAGACCGATTTAGTTAAGGGAGGTACTTAAGAATTCAAAAGCGACAAAGTTTCTTCGCTTTCTCATGGTTATAATGGGTCATCATATCATTTATTAAAGAAATTAACATTTACTGTTCCTGTTATGTATTACTCGTTTCTGATCAGAAGCATTTAGGTGGAAGTTTACTTTCGACAACTGTCCTTGCAATATATCTGCAGATGAGTGGTTAAAACCTTGTGATTTAACAATTCTCTCCCCTTCAACGAGCTTTCCTACATGCTATGCGCTTTGCTTTTCCATATTTATGTTCCAGAATCTAGAAGTGTTCATGGTTGTGTTCTTTTTCCCATCCGTAGATTCAACTTGAGGAATGAACTTAGTAACTTACGAATGGTAACCTGATACTTGGCTGAATAACCTTTCCCGTAGTTCTCTTTCTCTTTTCTCTAACCTCTACCCTTTGCGAATTCAAGGAAAATGAAGTTGGAGTTTTTAACAAAGCATGCAGCATATTTTGTTCGAAATCTAGCTCGGTGAGCAATGATGTCAGTTATTAATATGATACTGTGATTTGATTTTTATTGAGTGTTGACCGCTCACTTGACATTGTGCAGTTGTATATCTGGGACTTCTCAGGTCAGACAAACCAGTTATTTGGTATTGACACTGTGGATTCAGGTCAACCAAATGAGGAGGTAATCATATTTTCTTTCTTTGTTAGTTACACCATGGTATTTGTTATTTTGTGGTGCTCCTGGGTACATGAGAATATAGCGGTTATCAAATTTTCTTATCTCACTTTAAAGATGTGCTGATTCGTTAGTTTGACGAGCAAGATATAACCAGTTTCATTTAGAACACCATTGTATATTGCTTAATATTTGTAAATCCAAGTTCTGAACTCTGGCAAATTGCTGTTGATTATTTTTGGTTCATTTCATTTTCTTTTCCTGTTGTCGTTTTTCTTTATTTTGAGAATGAACACTTTCAGACTTTCAATGCCACTACTGAATCTAGAATTTGGATGCTTTCCATATGTACGAGTGTGACGTGCTTGTCCTATAGTCGTGGTTTGTGAATGATACACATTCCGAATGTTTATTTACAGTTTTGCTGATATTTTTTTTGTAGGTTAGGTTAGATTTGAAAATCTTTGGCTTGCCCTCTACCATCAATGACGAAGAGAGGCAAAATGGTTATATGCAAGCGGAGGAGTCTATGATTGGTAGTCCTTCGACCAGTTCGCCACATAGGATGAATGGCTGTGTGGATAAAGTGAATAAGTTTTCCAGGATTACGCCAGAAGTTGGTAGTGGCCCTTATTGCACTGGTTCTTTGGGTTTGACTGGATTGTATAATCTTGGAAATACTTGTTTTATGAACAGTGCTATCCAGTGCTTGGTGCATACTCCAAAGCTTGTTGATTATTTTCTAGCAAACTACCGGAGAGATCTGAATTGTGAAAATCCACTGGGCATGAATGTAAGTCTTTCATTTCTTTATTCTTTTGTCTTGGGGGGTTGTGGAATGGAACAACGCCAGTTTGTCTGTTTTGTGTTGTTTGCTTTCTCGTGTATGTTATTTATAGTTTTCCTGGAGGCTTCAGCCCTCAGGACTGTAAACATGTTCGCTGATTTTAAGTGCTGGATGTTGTGATAGGGAAAGCTTGCTATAGCATTCGGAGACTTATTAAGAAAGTTGTGGTCCCCAGGGGCCACACCAGTAGCTCCTAGGATGTTCAAATCTACTATTGCTAGTTTTGCTCCGCAATTTAGTGGGTACAATCAGCATGATTCCCAAGTAAGTGCCACAGCGTTCAAGATTTGTTAACGAATGATGGCAGATGAAATTTTTTCATGTGCTCACAAGGTTTTTTGGTAGGAATTTCTTTCCTTTTTATTGGATGGACTCCATGAAGATCTCAACCATGTGAAAACAAAACCTTACGTACAAGCAAAAGACGAAGATGGTCGTCCTGATGATGAAGTAGCGGATGAATACTGGAATAACCATTTATCTCGCAATGATTCAATCATTGTCGACCTATGTCAAGTATTCTTCTCTCTCATCTCCAGACGGTTACATGGATAGAAATAATGTTTCGATTTCGCCTATAAAATTTGTAGACTATGATAATCTGTTTGCCACTTAGTTTTATTTCCCATAGAATGTTTATTAGCTTTGGAGTGTTAGAATATTTTGTTACATTCATTTTAATTTGAAATGGGGTTGATTTTGAATTCACGATTGTTTTATTTTGAATGTAGGGGCAATATAGATCAACTTTGGTTTGTCCAGTTTGCAAAAAGTTGTCCATCACATTTGATCCATTTATGTACCTGTCGTTGCCGCTTCCTTGTTCAAAATTGCGAACGATGACTCTGACAGTCTTAAGCTCTGATGGGACTACAATGCCACATCCAGTTACAATAAGAGTCCCGGATGATGGGACCCTCAAAGACCTCATTGAGGCCTTGGGAATAGCTTGTTCATTAAGGGAAGATGAAACACTATTAATTACTGAGGTATATTTTAAACCCATTATCAGGACTTAGGATTTTGATTATAATATTTTTCTGCTATGAAAACATCCATCATTGTCTATGAAAGTTGTGATCCACATATAATTATCTTAGAGTATTTAGGAGAACATTGGCCGAAAAGATTCTGGTTTCCTCATTGATCCGATTACTAGTGTTGTTTATGTTTGGTGATTGTCTTTTACATGTTATGTTATGTTAATAGTTCATATCGTTCTAAGATCATTTAAGAAGATCAAATTATTATTTAGAGCTTAATTCTACCAAATAGTGTGTGGCACAGATTGTAAGCGTTGAAAACGGTGTCTTGGTGTGTGTGAATGTGGTTTGTCATCATCGGATCTTCGAATGATTTCTTATGATGAATTGTTCTCATGTGCCACATAAGTATGCGTTGAGTCTGGATATATCACATTGAAAGTCATTATATGTTTATGTATAAAGCTGAAAACACTGTCTTTGAATTTATGATGCATTTATTAAACTATCTAGATACATTTGATTAAGATACTATTAGTTCTAGAATTTTGTTATGATTTCTCTAAGTGAAAACACTTATCATATGATGCTAACTTCTGTAGTGTCATGAGATTTCTGAGAAATGTTATCCTTTGTGCTTCATGGTCTTCATTTTCTGCAGTTATTTTTCCAATTTGTTGATGTGTACTGGTCATGATATGGGCGAGCACAAGTGTCTTAACAACATGCCTTGACATGCTCATCCTTTTCTCCTTTGGCTTTTAGAATACAACCAATTGATCTCTCAGTACTATATATCACAACTGTTTCTGTTTTGATGTTCAATCATTTTGATGAGCGCAGAAACAAACGTCAGAAATTTAATTCTTTTAATAAGCCATTTTTCGTTCTTTGAATATTGCATCTGTCCTTGACTTGTGAGGACCTTTGCAGATATTCGGTCACTCAATCCTCCGGATTCTGAACGACCCTGGTGATTCAATTGAGTTGATTAGAGACTATGACAAACTCGTTGCCTACAGATTGCCAAAAGATATGGATGAATCTTCTTTGGTCGTGTTTTTGCATCAAGAGGGCAGAAAGTAAGTTCAACTAGTTTGATCCTTGTATAAAAACTACCCTACAATGGCAAATGTGGTGCATTCACATACTTTGTTGCTATATGTTATCCTGGATTCTGTACACTTAACTTCATATGCTTGAATAAGCAAATGGAAAAAGGTATTTTTTTCTAGTGGCCAAATAGAAGCTACGGCTTATATTATTTCCCAAATCGCAGGAAGTTTGGCATCCCTCTCGTGGCAAGGATACCAAATCCTTTTGAAGAGTCCGATTTACGTAAACAATTTCTCAACCTCATTAATCCATTCTTACTGTCTGGTGAAGAGCTCTTGAATGATGATGCCTCACAAAAGATTACCCATGAAGATGAATTGATAGATTTTGATGGATTTTTCGAAGAGGCTTCAATTTCTAACAACGAAAGCGATTCAGATGTTCTATGTGACTTTGAGTTTTCTTTAGAGAGAAGCTCTTATGTTCATTTTAGCCCCATCAAGTTACAGATGGATATTCCTATGACCATGTCAAGTTCTGGTCGGCCAATCCAAGTGCTTGTTTCTTGGCCAGAGAAAATGGTTCTGAATTATGACACTGCGATTCTGAGCTTATTGCCCGAAGTTTGCAGAGGATTCAATTCCAAGTACACCCAAGATTCTATTTCACTGTATAGTTGTGTTGATGCGTTTTTGAAAGAGGAGCCTCTTGGACCAGAAGACATGTGGTACGTATTCAATATTTATTATTCTGAGCATAGCTTGTATTATTTGTTTGTTTTGTTTTTTTTTTTTTTTAATTNACCGAATCACATCATGACTTTGCTCATCTTACCGCTATTCTGTTGTGTAGGTATTGCCCTAATTGCAAGGAGCATAGGCAGGCAAGCAAAAAATTGGATCTCTGGAGGTTACCAGAGATTCTCGTCATTCATTTAAAAAGATTTTCGTACACCAGATTCTTGAAAAACAAGCTGGAAGCCTTTGTGGACTTCCCCATTGATGAGTTAGATCTCTCTAATTATGTTATTCGAAAGATTAACACGGTTGGCCATCGTTACATGTTGTTTGCCATGAGTAATCATTATGGTGGCATGGGTGGTGGTCATTATACTGCATTTGCTAAAGTAAGTGTTAAGCCAGTGTGAAGATCTCGAGGAATTTGGGCAATTTTTCATGAATTTCAGATTTGTATTTAAATGCTGATTTTGTATTTGTCCTTATTAGTTTTATTAAATGTTTTTGGTTCTGCAGCATAAGCTTGATAGATGGTATGAGTTTGACGATGGCCGTGTAAACCCTGTTACTGAGGAGCAGATAAAGACGCAAGCTGCTTATGTCCTCTTCTACAAGAGAATATAGATTTTTTTACAATTGCGAAAATGGGTGAAGTAAATTTCGCATTCAATACATTAAAGTGCTGTGGAAAATCAGCTATTGAAGCTATAGGAAATATTTTTTTAGATCAATTGATGTACATATGATTTTGTTATTTTTTTTTTTTTACTTTGTTGTTTGACAGACGGTTTTTAATTTTTATTTGACGATGGTGGAATTACAACAGAGACGAGCAGGCCAAGATAAAACCAGGCCAAAGTTAAAAAATAATATTTGCAAAAAATGTCTCCTGTTTCGAATTTTCTTTGGAACGAATCACAGAATTCTCGAATAATTTGAGTTAAAATTATTGGTCTCAAGTACTTCTACCGCCATCAATGTTAGGTTTATACGTGCTTTTTATCAAATAAAATTTTTCAGTAATTTAGGCAAGTATGACAAGGTATTATTATTATTTATTTTTTCATGCAGGTATGACAAGTTAATTTTACATATAGTAGCTTCGTGTGAGAAAATCCAGAATAAAAAAAAAAATGATCCTGTATATATTATATATACATAAACAAATATATTTTTTAGTTAGAATACTTAATATTAAATGCGTAAAAATATAAATAATATTNAAGGCCTTATTTGCTACTAAGGAGATGGGCCGGTGGACCACTATGATTTTGGTCAACCTTAGTACGCCTCATTTTCTGAAAAAAGGAAAAATTCAAAGTATGCAAAATGAATATTTTTCATGAATTATTATCCAATTCACTAATTTGAAATGTATTGTCCATATAATTTACTTTCTTCTTTTTCCATTTTCAATCAAAACGTTATTGAATTTTAAATTAAAAAGTAATTATTTTATTATATATTTATCATAAACTAATCAACAATTATTTCATATACAATTTGTTAATTCTAATACATGTATATGAGTATATCCAAGCAACCATACAATCAAGCGTAGATCGTTTTTTTGTCTGCGGCAAGTAAGGCAAAGTCGTGAATATTTTAATGACTTCATACCAGAATTTTGAGGAAGTTTGAGGCAAAATCGTTTTGTTGTGCTCTGTATGAGATCAAATGTTAAACAATCAAGCGCCTAGGTGGACTCGCCTCAGCTGAAATTGTCTGTTCAAGTCCCTGTTTTGAGATCTGCAATCTCTGTTTCAATTCCCAAAAACGAAAAACCCATTTTGGGTTGTTTGTTGGGCATTTAGCAAGTGAGCTTTACCACTTTTTTTCATTTAAATATTTTTTATATGTATGAATCAATTGTCTTTCACTGTGTGGTGCTGTGGTGAGTGCCTGTGCTAAAGTGCCTGAATGTTTTGCTGTCTTGTATTTTGGCTAAAAGGGTTGGGCCTCTGTGTACTGAAGTAATAGATGTGATCATTGGTTTTTCCTTTTTTTTTTATTATTTTTTTTTATTTTTGGTGTGTGATTATTACTGGAATTTCTGGTTGTGGAATAATCTTTGATCCTCTTCTGCGTAAGAGATCAAGTTCTTGCACGTTTATTGTTTCATCAGTGAGGTTTGTTGGTAGATGTTGTATTGATTGGAGTTGTCTAAATGTTTTTGGGTGAAAGTTGTCTGATTGCTTTTTGATAAATGCTTGTATTTTCCTAAATGAAACATTTGTGAGTTAGGTATGAGCTGCTTTTTCAAGTCCCGCATGAAGTTCAACATCGTCTTATGCCCTTGACAAAGCCAAAAATGTCACTTGCAATGATGGGAACAATTTCTGAGTGGCTATTTTTGGCATATAATTCCTAACCCCTCTTATACCTAACTTTTCTTGCCATTTTCATTTGATACTTGTGACGGAATTTGGTCTGAATTTTTATTCCATTTGCTTTCTTAAGCCATTTTTATCTCGTGGAGAGAAATAACAAATAAAATTAGTTTATTTTGTATCTTGAAGGTTTTGGTGGAAAGTCTTTTTATTTCTGCTGTCAATGTCAAAATATGGAGGGGAAAGATAGTATCTCAGATTACAGAAGCAAATTGGACAAGACGCTAACATCACCGGATTTGACAAATTATGAAACAATTCGTACCCATGTCAAGAACCAAATCTTGCAATCATTGGAATCTGACTTAGAAGGTTGGCCATTTTTCCATTTTACTGATTTTTTCTGGTGTAGCACTGTTTCTTGAATAAAATGTTTAATTTCGGATAAAAGAATGTAATTTTGTGCTTGTGCAGAATACACAGAACAGGTGGTGGAAAAAAGAAGTAAAGAAATGTTCAGTTTACTCAGTATGTTGAGGAGTGCCTCAGTGAGTGATCTTGACAAGTCTAAATCCATCAACGAATCACAAAGTTGCTGGAAAGTATGAATTTATGCTTTTTTTTTTTAAATGAAAATATTATATGCTTTTGTTTATCGAATTCTTTTACATTTTGAAGATTTATTTCTTTATTTATTTTCTGATTAAATTGCAGGTAAAAGAGGACACTGATGAGTTCCGTGTGATGTATCGAGAAGGACCAGCTGGAACTCCCTTCCATACACTTCTCGTTGAAGGCTATGTGGATGGGCCTCTCGATGTTTGTAAGACTGAACTAAAATATGATATGACAAGTTGAGATAAGTGCATGAGATTAAAAAACTTAACAGATGTGATTATTAAAAAAATTTCTTCATCCTAAACAGGTCTGTGCATTTCATGCGAGTCTGACCTTTATAAGATATGGTAAGAGATGCATGTCAAATTGTATCATCAGCTAAACAAGTATAAATAGTTGTTGTTGTTGTTGTTTTTTTTTTTTTTTTTTTTT